AAAGTTGCTAGTAATCGCAACGTTCTGCATTTTTGACGGTTTAGTTTCAACTTAGTACTAAATGTGTACTATAATAAAGTACTGCACGTGCTGTCGAAAAAATGTGTTTGACAATGCGGTACTATTTTTGCAATTTGTTCTATAACTACAACTGCATGTTAAGATTTTTAAGATATACATGTAACAAATAGGTTTTGATTTTGCTGCTTTTGTAATGTCGGATTAACAGGATTTATTAGAATAAGTTTTATAAGTTTAAATTTTGCTATTACGTTAATACTTTCTGGGTTTTATGTATTTACTATTTGTGTTTTACCCGAAAAATATTCCCAATATTTTAACCAATTTCCCAATATTTTAATTACTATTGGCTAAGCGTGTTTTAGCCATGTTCGGAAACACACATTTGTGTGAACAATTATTGTTTTCGATATGAAAAAATAATAAAGCGGAAATCAAACTATTGCCTAGTCTTATATAAAGATATCTGTGATGTACCACAGGCACATAATATTTTGCAATACACAATTTACTAATCCATACATACGGTGTATAGAAAATCGATCATTGTATTTTCCAATGAATTAGAAATGTTCATGGTGATGTTTCAAAAATAAAAAAACGTGTATACAGAAATTATTTTATTTCGTTTTTAAAATAACAAAAAAAAGTTTAATGTTCTTACGAACTAGAATAATAAATTACAGGTAACAAAATATTTTTCGGGTAAAACAAAAATATTAAATACATAAAACAATTCCTTTTAAAAAAAAATTTTTAAATTCACTTTTTATTACCTACACAACATATTTACATAAAAAAATAAAATTTTAATTCCATTTTTCTTAATGCTAGTAATATTTGATGAGAAAACCTATAAATTTTATCAAATAAAATAATATACCTATGTGTTCACCTAAATTACACAAAATTACTTAATTTTCTTTTATTAGAGATTAAATTACTTCTTTAATCTAATTATTTATTTATATTGTTAAAATCTCTCGTATACTATTGCTTCTGCATCCTTCGGCGCAACACCTTCGGGGCGTTTTTATTTATATAAACGTAATCACATATACTTTATTTAAATATCCGTAAAATGAAAACTTAAAAAAATACACCAAAATTTACCAATTTATTAAGTCAAGTTTTTGTTTTAAATAAACTCACAATTAAACGTACAATTTTTTCAAAAGCACGTTTTATTTTATACTAACGCAAATATTACGAACAAAAGAAAAAATTTAATTAATGTAAATTATAAATTCTCATTTTATTTTATAACACAGATAATAAATATAATTATTCACTGAATTTAAATTAAAATTAAATTTTAAACAACAAATAAAATTTTTTTACCGCTTAGCACTCTTGGTGTTATTAATTATATAAAGATACGAGAAAAAAAAGAGTTGAGCTTGTAAACTCTGTGATACCCGTACGAATTTGTTATCCTACGTGCGAATAAATATGCCATAACTGAATACGGGACAGACTATGACTTTAAGTTGCCGTATTTCCATATTGATTTATGTAAAATTTCAGTACTGTATTTTTCAAAAACTGTGTGTGCCAAACTACTATTGAAGTTGAATGGCAGCTGCCAGATGGAACCGAGCAATTTCAACGACTTTTATCAAACATATTGGCCCTACTAATATATTCGCTTGTGTGAAATTTCAATACCATAGCTTTTATAGTTTCTGAGATATAGCCAAATAACTTTAGAAATGTACGACAGCTACCAGAAGGAGCCAAGCAATTTCAACGACTTTTATCAAACATATTGGCCCTACTAATATATTCGCTTGGGTGAAATTTCAATACCATAGCTTTTATAGTTTCTGAGATATAGCCAAATAACTTTTGAAGTTGTATGGCAGGTACCAGAAGGAGCCAAGTAATTTCGACGATTTTTATAAGACTCGTTGGCCATACAAATATATTCGATTGTGTGAAATTTCAATACAACAGCTTTTATAGTTTCTCAGATATAGCCAAATAAATTTTGAAGTTGTATGGCAGCTACCCGATCCGGTACCCCGACCATGCCCTATTTAAATAGGGTTCTGGCACTTACTATAATAAATCATTTATGAAAATTTGGGAACTTAGCTCAATTAGTTTTTGAGTTATCGTTGAGACGAACGGACGGACGGACAGATAAAGCTAAATCAAAATCAATAAGCTAAATCAAAACATAAACTTGAGTCCATATCTAAGACCGTTAATACTTAGCGTTACAAACGGTAAGGCAAATTTAGTATACCCTTCGAACATACGTTCGTACCGGTATAATTATTTGTATAAGAATCAACTGGATAACGAAAGACATAAAAAGTAACACTGTTTCTTATTGAAAATTAACTATTTTGAAAAATTAAAAATTTGTTATTATCGAAAAATTAGAGTTTGTTTTTTGGCACTTTTCCAAAAATTTTTTGAAAAAAAGTGCTTATTAGTTTCACTCTGTCCATCCATCCGTCCGTCCGTCTTTCCGTGTGTTTGTTTACAGAACTTCTACACCCTTGAAGATAGAAAGCTGAAATTTAATACGTACATAGATCTTTACTAGAAACTTATTTCCGTAGAACAAAATTTTTACCTATCTCCCCCCTTCTAGAAGTTATACCCCTCCAAAACCTTAAAAATGGCCTTTTTTAACTATTTGTTGCAAAGAAACCATAAGCATTTTTCAAATTTTGCAAACGCAGAAAGGCAGCGGCTTGCTTTCCCTAGCTCGATATACTATAGTTAAACTTTAGAAAAACAAAATGGCCGTTCAATTTTTTATCGTTATTTAAAGTCCGTTTTTTCCAAATTTTTGATGTCATTTTTCTTCTAGACCCCAGTTTGTAGGAGCCTGAAATTTTAGCAGCTTTTAGAGACTAATAAATAGTTTATTTCGTTAGAAGAAAATTTTTTTCCATGTCCACCCCCTCTCAACTTATCGCCGCTTGAAATTTGTAAAATTTGAATTTATGACACCTTATATTTCCGAAACCGTAAGCTTTTTCAAATTTCTATAAACAAAAATTTCTAACGGTAAATTTCATGACATTAAAAATTATAATTACTTTTCTTAACTCACGTAATTAACCCTTAAAAACGACCATTAAGTTAACCCCACTTTCTATTCATTTTTGCTTTATTTCAAATAAATCTTTGCTTTATTTCAACAAATCTGCATAAATCGTTCATTCTAAATATATGCAATTCTAAAAATAGTTTCGTGTATGAATGAAAATAATATTAATAGTGTGGTAGGTATAAATAGACTGTATTTAAAAGCAGTACTTTCACTTGTTGAAGGGAAAAGTGCTGCAATACAAACCATTGGTTTGACCCAACTTTATTTTATTTCAGTTATTTTCATAAACATTTATGTATATCATTAATATTTATTGAAATTATAATTGTACTTATAATAGTCTGAAAATGTGAAAAGCAGCGTATAGGCCAATAAAACTCCTGGCGTAAACCTTAAAATTTTTTGTGTTTTTTCAGCCATGCAATTATTTCAACTATGCAATAGACATGCATACATAGCAATATATTATGTACTCGTACATATAGATAAAGGTACATTACCACGTAAGCAAATATCAACATGTACATTTTTAAAGCAAAATAATTACATATATTCATTACGTTTTTATGATAACACATATAATGCAGATTTTATTACTAAATGAACATTTGCCTACACTTATAGCAGAGACCATATATTTAAAAGACAACCAATCTAGCGTAATATATTTAGATATGAAAAATTTTACGATTTTCAAATTTTTGCCAGACTATTGAGCTTAGTTGAAATCTGGCCAGATTTCAATTTCTGTTTTACATCAAAATATAAAAACAGAAAAAAAGAAAAACTAAAATATAAAAAAGAAATTGCAAACATATGATTGCGAAGGCGAAGTAATATACAATATTTTTTCTCTTACGATCTTTGCTGGGTTGCCATTTTGGTAGATTTTTACCTAACACTAATTTGATAGCTTTTCCGTAAACTCTCAAATTCGTGATATTGAAATTTTTAAATTCTCGTTAATTTTTTTTAAATAAAAAAAAAGTGTTGTTTGCAGACTTCGTTGGTAAATATTGTAAATGGAAGTTTCATTTGTCCAAAAAATTAATCTTAATAAGCCTTAAAAATTAACCTTAATAAGATTTGGCTACTTTCTTAAATTTTAAAAGGAAAATTTAAGACTTTTTTAAAGGAAATCCTTGAAATTTTGAGCAATAATCAAAGAAATAAAGTTTGCGGTTCCCAGACCAGAGTTTGTGTACTTTTGTCTATAGAACAGCATTACATTGTTATTTTGGCAACATTTTCTTAACTAAGTAACTTTTCTAAATAAATGGTAGGCGCTATATAATTCTAAGTAAATGGTAACCTCTGGTTTCTGGTTTTGAATATATAATGTATCAAACATTCATATACATATTTATGTTGTGAATTTACATAATGTACATGATAATTGATTGATATATGTACATATATAAATAGAATTAAAATGTAGAAATAAAAACAAAAATTATTAGGAATAATTAAGTGCGCGTGTTTAGTTTTGCATGTATAGAATATTTAGTATAAATGTGTGTTCTTAACATTCTAAACCAAAATTTTATTTGTTTCTATGGTCAATATTCTGGTTCGCATATTATTTAAAATTTTACTTTTCGGAAAGTACGTAAAAAAGCACAGAGTGGTAACAATCCTTATATCAAATTCAAATGTCAATAAATATATTACGATGCTATAATGCCTTTTTATCTAACAAATCCCAATGCTCAGAGAGAAACTTGAAAGCACGACCTTATTTTATATGGGTTTTTTTAAATCGAAGTGGCTATTTTTTGAGAAGAAATATTAAAATAAATTCACACTTATTCACAGCAGGTAAAATTTAGAAAATATATTTGAAAAATCAAAAAAATATATTAATATTTTCATTGATAATTATTTTAAAATTATAAAAAAGCGGAAAAACAACAAGCACATCCTTCGCCTTCAACGTTTTATATGTTACTGAAAGCATTTAATTTAAATGTCTCTGTTTTGAATAATTATATTTTGAATAATTTTGTTGAATTCTTTGGATCTTTGTTCGAAAAGGATTTACTGTTAAAAAGTGATTGTTCCTATTAAAGTATTGACTATTTGTAGTAATTTTAATATTCTATTTGTTTATAAGGTGTAGCAATATGATTTGTATTTTCAGTATTTATTCCGTGGAGATATGGTGATATTTTAACGTACTTTGATGCTCGACGTATCGAAACAATGTTGGAGAAAATTTTTCGGTTTGATATTTGCTTTAACAATGCAGAGTTGGTGTAAAATATTTGATGTAGCGCCTTTTTAATATTTTTTTTTATCCTTATTCGCTCCTAGGAGGAGCATAGGGCACCAGCATGATACGTATGTATATAACCATGAACCAGTTTCTGACGTCATTTAGTTTTACTAGGTAGGTGACCAACCTACCGTAGTTATTTCTTTATTAAAGCCATATATATCTATCAGGCCTCCAATTTGAAAATATTTTCGGAAATTTGAATCGGAAAAAATACAAAAACAATTCTTAATATTTTCGATGTATGGCGATTGAAATATTTTTTTATATTTTTATGAAATTTTGAGTATTCTTTACGAATCTCATTTTATTTAGTATAGTTTTAAAAGCCATCTAGATTATAATTATTAATTTTTTGCTTTTTTCTTTAATTTCTTTTTAAATTCTATTTCCTATTCAAAAATTTTACTCTGTAATTCAGTAAACTTCCATAATGCCATACATATATATTTACAGGCCATCAAGCTCAGAGAGCAAATCCAAAATAAATTCCAAATTTATATGGAGTTTAAATGGAAGTGCGTTGAAATTTATTTGCGTGAAGGAAATTGATCAATATTTTTGGCTCTATGGACTCTACATATTTTTTTAAATTAAAAATGTTCCCAAAGCCTCTATGTTTCATGGCAATGTTCCTTAATTTCTCACTCACTTGGGCGATACCCACATCCCTATGAAATATAAATCTCGAAATTGCACACAATACCAGGGAGCAGTCACAATATTTCGAAGGAATTTGTTCTGGAAAGTTTGTATTTTTGGATGTAGGGGTTTTTTTGGCATACCTCTAAGCAAACCGTACGTCCACATAGCTATTCGCTTTATCATTTGATTATTTGAACACCTTGTTTTATGTTTCCAATCAAGATCTACGAGCTAGGAGACAATAGTTCTCTCTATATTTACTTTATATTTCAACTCTTTTCTTCTTTACATGTTCTTTCCATCTGGAATTGACATTCAAAGTCATTATTAGGTATTTCGCTCTTAGGTATTTTTGGTTTGATGCTCTATAGTACCATTCAAATTCAATTGTGGCGGGTTTACTAATGTACAGATTTTTTTCCATTTAGCTTTATTTTTGATTTATACGTTATGTCTATTTTTTTTTCTTTGTCAACATTAGATCCTACTGCCAATATTGCTGTATCATCGAGAAATGTAGCCACAGTTACATCCTCTCAATCTGGCAAATCGCTTGTATAAAGCACGTATAATATAAGACCCAGAATACTGCCTTGAGGCAGATAAGCAGTAATTTCCCTAAGCGTGAGGAGAATTGCCGGCATCAGCCTTGCATAACAACAATTTGTCAAAAAGTTTTAATATCATTGGTAACAGCAAAATGAGTCTATGTGACTCATCTCATATAATAACATATTTCATGTTCATCGCTTCATTTATAATTTTTTTCAATAATGCCAATGCCTTGCAATTCAAATGTCTTTTTGTGTAAATAGAGTTATAGTGCTTTCACCCATAACAATATTTTCTACTAAAAAACGTTCCAAAGAATTCATTCCAAGTGATCAGCAAATAATTCAGCTTAATCCCTATTGCCTTCTTCCCATGATCTATCTGTTTTCATCAGTGGGAGAATTCACTTTACGGTTTTTTAGTACTCCTCGTGCTTTCCACAACAAATAATTCGTTTCTTTATTTGTTGATAAGCCCTTTATATAATTCTCATTTTTCTTTTGGATGTTTGAGAAAGTTTATTTAAAAGCGTTTAATCGTCTGGGTGGCACGACTCTTGTCATTTACGTCTAGCCCTTCCATTAAATCAGTTATATGTAGTCTTAGGATCATTACTTGATACAGGTTTGAATTTAGATAATCTTCTATTTTTCCAGACGGCTTTCTATATCAATTAAATAAAACCAGAGTTCAACATTAAAATATATATTTCTAATTACATCATGTTTTTAAACCTACGCAATTTGTGGCTTTGTTGACTTAAGTGGGCCAGCTCTGTTTGTTAGCTATTATCAAATTAATATCATCTTCCAAGTTCAAAAAATGTACCGAAGGTATAAAAAAGTCAATAAGATCCGGGACTTTGTTGTCATTAGTACATCAATAAGTCGGACTGTCAGTAAACAATAGGAACATTCCAATTCCCAAATAGCTTTTCATAATTTTTTTACCTCTAGTTAAGGTTAATGTAGACCCTCAATTCACATGTTTGGCATTGTAGTCACTTTCCAGTAACAATCTATTTCCAACCGCATGTAGGAGATCCTTAAAAATATCCTTTTTTATGTTACATCCTGTAGCATCTATAACCGAGCACATGCGAATCCTTTTTCACGTATATTTCCGACAACCGACATAATTTAATATTTTGGGGCAAAATCTCCAATTCGTGCTTTCTACATTTTTTAGAAATCGTTTCGGGGTTACTAGATATACGTTATCTGTTCTGCATAGTAGTTAATCTCATTTAGATCTCGTTAATTCTTCGTAGCATGTTTTACATATTTTGCATTATGCTATTGTCAATCTCTTTAGATTTTTGCATTATCAACCTCTTTAGTCTTTATGTCTTTCTAAGGTCTTTTATGCATATAATATTTTGCACTTTTGGAAGCCATTTGTGAGTGAGTAGTACCATTTTTTTTTTTTATCTGACCATTGGTGCAGTGGTTATGGCACCAGCCCTTTAAACGAAGGGTCTCGGGTTCAAACCCCGGTCAGGTCACTATAAAAAAAAAAAAAAAAAATTATATTCAATATTATATAACTTGCATAGTGTTGCATATTACTAATAAATTTTATACAAGTAATTTTCAAATATTCATAATATTCGATACTAAAGACTAAGAAAAAATAAACAGTAAAATTTTAATAAACTGAAATATTTAATATAAATAAAAACTACGGTAGGCAGCATAGTCCCTATGACTATAGAAACTAGGGCATGATAGATATCATGCACTAGCCCTATACTCCTCCTAGGAGTGAAGAAGGAAAAAAAAAAAAAAATACCATTTTTTACTTTATTTTATGTAAAAATAATAATCGTTTTTGGGTTCCATTCATGATTACGCAGAACCCGTTTAGGCAGATTCCTTTTTATTCTCCTTTTTCTTACCTCCTGAACCACTAAGCAGCCTAGTTAACTAGCAGGGTGTACCTCATTTTAGTTTGCACACTTGGCCTCAAAAGTATCTTTCATGTTATATTCTGCTGTCATATGCATATGCATATAACTATATTTAGCACATTTAACCCATATTTGGCAAAATCTTTGTGTTTGTCCAGACTTCTGGCATCTTTTGCATCGTGGGATGGACCCATTACTTCTAAGATCAACTTTTATTCCTATGTGCTGAAAATATTCTATTTCATATATTTTATTTATGTCTTTGCAATAATCAGAGAACAACATAGAAAGAAGCAACTTTTAATAGTACTCGCCCTTTTTAAGCTCAGAACTTTTTTTTCGCGGAGATTTTTCTATATTAGTGCTATTCACTTTTAGCGCCGATTCCATTTCTGGTGAACATTTGGATTTTCTCCTTTTAGAGTTTCAGATGGTTTTAAGAATCCAATCTTTCTCTAGCCAACTCTTCCACACCGGTGTCATATTTAGTTATGAGATATATGGCTATTAACCCTGCAAGGTTTTTTCTATTGCAGTCCCTCTATCAAACGCAGACCAGTGAACCGTGTTTTGGTTCAGACGCGCCTGGGCTTGGCCGGATTTTAGTGGGCCCATACCAAAAGCACACCTGGTGTGGGTACTCCAATTCTCCTAGGTGTATCACAATCTACATCAATAACATAAAAGAATGAGAATAGGAAAAGAGAAAAAAAGCATTATTTTGCATTCTTCTTCTTCTTCCGCAGCATTACAGTCCATGATGAACCTGAGCTTGCTCCACGATGCCTCTCCATTCTTCACGGTTTTGCGCAACCAGAGTATAATTGTTGACTCTTAAGACCCTTAAATCTTCTTCTACTGCCTCTTTCCATCTTTTTCTTGGCCTACCACGTCTTCTAGTGCCTACAGGGTTTCTCGCATAAATCTTATACACTGCTCTTTCTTCTGGCATTCGCAAAATGTGGCCCAGCCATCTAATTCTTTGTGCCTTTACATATCGAACAACGTTCTTTCCACCAATAAGCTCCTCTAGTTCATGGTTGTATCTGATTCTGTACGAACCATCTTCATTGCGTATTGGACCGTATATTTTTCTCAGCACCTTTCGTTCAAAAATGAGTAAATTTTGGTTTTCGTTTGCCTTTAGGGTCCACGTTTCGCATCCGTATGTTAAAACAGGTCTAATAAGCGTTAAATATATTTTCATCTTCGTTGCTTTTGTTATGAGCTTAGATTTGAGCAGCTTATTATGTGCATAGAAAGCCCTGCCTGCAGCCGGAATTCTATCAGTAATGGCTGCAGTGGTATCACCATCTTGTGTTATATTTACACCGAGATATTTAAATTCTTTGACGGCTTCGAAAGTTTTATCCACAATGATTAAATCAGGAACAATTCGTGGATATTTGGTTTTTACCATATATTTTGTTTTTTCGATATTTATTTTATTTATTTTTAGGCCTATTGCGCCAGTTGAATGCTCTATTTGGCTATATACTTCTACAATTTTTCTTTGACTTTTAGCTATTAGCACAATGTCGTCTGCATAGGCACAAATAGTTAAAAATTGTTCCTCCCTGACAGAACTCTCCTATAACAGATTGCAACATCAAATTGAATAATAAAGCCGACAGAGCATCCCCTTGCTTTACACCAGAATATATATCAAAGGGGTCCGACAGTTGGCCTTGCACCATTACCTTGCCTTTTGTGTTACGTAAGGTCATATTTATAATTCTACCTAATTTCCTAGGTATACCCAACTTCAATAAAGCTCTTTCTATTGTTGATCTGTCTAGACTGTCGAACGCTTGTTTAAAATCAATAAATAAACAATGAATATCCATAGAATACTCATGTGCCTTCTCTTTCTATTGTTGATCTGTCTAGACTGTCGAACGCTTGTTTAAAATCAATAAATAAACAATGAATATCCATAGAATACTCATGTGCCTTCTCGAAAATTTGGCTTAAAATAAAACACTGGTCCGATGTGGATCTGTCTTTTCGAAAGCCCGCCTGATAATCTCCAACGATTTCTTCCGAAAAACTACTAACCCTTTGATACACAATATTTGTAAAAATCTTATAACCTATATTCAGTAGTGATATTCCCCGATAATTGTTGCAATCAGTTTTGTCCCCCTTTTTGTGAATCGGAAATATGATACTATCCATCCATTCCGTTGGCAACGTTTCTGTATTCCATATACTTAGTATTAGTTCATGTAGTTGTTTATGAAGCTCTTCTCCACCGTATTTGATCAGCTCTGCCGTGAGATTGTCCTCACCTCCTGCTTTTCCATTTTTAAGCTTCTTTATGGCTTCCTTTGTTTCAACCAAAGTTGGATGTTGTACGATGTTTTCAGCATAGTACAGGATTTCATTATTATCGTCGACACAATTTTCATTAACCTGTCTATTTAGAAGCTCGTCAAAATGTTCTTTCCATCTACATAAAATTTTGTCCAATTCTAAGATATTTTTTCCATTTTTATCCTTACAAATATTTAACCTAGGCTGATATGTGGAAGTTTGTTTTTTAATACTGCTGTACATATTTCTAATATTCTTCTTGTCGTGGTTCTCTTCTATTTTGCGAATCTCTACTTTTATGGCCTCTTTTTTCTTTGTTCGCATTACTTTTTTTGCCAGCTTTCTCTTTTCTTTGTACTCGACTTCATTTTGTCTAGTTGGACGCTCCAGTAATTTCTTTCTTGCTTTGTTCTTTTCATCGTTAAATTTTCGACATTCTTCGTCATACCATTCATTTCTTTTGCATTGTTTTTTACCTATAACATCCTCTGCAGCCTCCTTTACTGCTTTGCTTATACTATTCCAGGCTGTTGGGTCCATGTTTTCGCCATCTCTAACCATATTCAATTTTTCGACAATTTTCTGTTGATACTTCTTGCAGGTGATATCATCCCTGATAAGTCTATCAGAATTCCAATTAATTCTACGGAAATCGCTACGGTTATTATTGTTCGATATTTCAATCAATTACGATCAATTTGCACCCCTATAAGACCTGACATCCGTTATTGATGTTGCATGTCTCTTATCCACCAAAACATGGTCAATTTGATTGCAGCCACGCCGTCCTGGAATTTTCCAGGTATGTTTATGTATATTCTTATGGGGAAAAGAGATACTACTAATATGTAGTCTATTACTCATTGCGAAATTGCAAATTCTCATTCCATTCTCATTTGTTTCTTTATGCAACGAATGTCTACCACCTATGTACTGCACAAAATCTTCTCTCCCTATTTTTGCGTTAAAATCACCCATAATTATTATCAAGTCATTCCTACTTATTTTGCTGCAAAGCGTGTCAAGTTTATCGTAAAATTCATCTTTGATTTCGTCGTTAGTATCATTTTTGGGTGCATATACTGACACAATTGATATATTTTGAAAACGGCCCTTTAATTTTATATAACACATTCTATCATTAATTGGTTCAAATAGTATTACAGATTCCCTAGTCTTTTTGTCTATGTAGAAGCCCGTTCCACCATATCCTGTTTGTTTATTTCCACTCAAATATATAGAATAATTTCTTTTTCTAACTTCACCTTGATCCTTCCACCTAATTTCTTGTAAACTGCAGATATTTACACTGTAGGCCATCAGCTCATCTGCTATTTCAAACATTTTTCCAGCCTGTAACATTGTTTGAACGTTCCAAGTAGCAATTTTTATATCAAAGTCCTTAATCGTATGCATGGGTCGATTCCGTTGTATCCCGCCAGTTATCCGAGGCTTCATTTTAGCTTTCATAACAAGTGCTGTTTTACAGGTAGGGGTTGTTAGCCCCTAGCCTAACCACCATCCTTGTTGGGCCGTGATAATGCATCTGGTTATTTGGACCAGAGCGTTGTTGACTATGGTTATACCGCCAATACTCGGTCGCCATTTCCTCATTTGCATGGATCAGGTCCTGCCACGGGAAGGCTGAGGTTGGCTTTTGATCTGGAGAGGCTGTATGAGACGCATCCAAATCCTTAGGACCCATTATTATTTTGCATTATATATACATTAATTTGTAACTTCTTGTATTCTCTTTGAAATTCCTCGTAAGTAGATCTTTTATTTCATCTGGTAACTTTGTGTATTTCGGTATACCGGAATTGTAAACCGATTTAAGTCCAACTGAATTGAAACTTAAACTCTATAATCTCTCAATTTTGAGATATTAAGTCTGCTAGGTATTAGGTCAGTGAAAGTTCTCTTGAACAGTGCAAATCAAGTTTTTATGGTTTTGTTTTGGATTTCTTGGATGGTGTTTAAGTGCTTTTCCCATATTGCGATTCCATAGACAACAATGCTATTGAAGAGGCTTTGGCATTACGACGGTTTGTTGCACAGTGGTATACGAGGTTCTATTTTCTTGAAAATTCCAGAAACTCTTATTGCTTTGATTATTACATCGATGCGAATTCCAATTCCTCCTGTTTCCTTTTTCTTTTCTGTTATTACGACAGGAGACATATGTAGTAAGTTTAACAGTAAGCTTGTGTAAACTTGTTCATCTCTTTATTTTAAATCTTTCGTAATAGAAAATTCCACTTTATTCTTTGTGTCACTTTATGCACGGTTTGGCGCTAAGTTTTGTATTCTGAATGCTTATGTATTAACCTATCACGAAAAGAGTGTCACGACATTAATAATATCAATAATACATCGCGAGAGTTATGATTTTCCCATTTCTGGATACAGAGGTTTTCTTCAGTATTTAGTGTCAAAACAATTTCACAATTATTTCAAAGATATTTTATTTATATATAATATATAAAACGTATCAAAATACTTTAAAATTTCAAAAAAAAGTTTAAACTTTTTACTTAAAAAACTTGAAAATAACTTGCTACTCGTAATACTTGCTTATGTGTGGCGAAAAATCTTCGTCTATATCAGCATCGTCATCATCATCGGCATTGTCTACCATTAATTTTATTAGATTATTATGCAATTTGCTCGCATTTGTAATCCTTTATGTTCGGTAAAATACAAAGACAATGATAATCAATGTAAAAACTAGTAGAACAAAATTTTTACTATAAATTAATTAAATACTCGCTTCGAAAAGTTGCTAGTAATCGCAACGTTCTGCATTTTTGACGGTTTAGTTTCAACTTAGTACTAAATGTGTACTATAATAAAGTACTGCACGTGCTGTCGAAAAAATGTGTTTGACAATGCGGTACTATTTTTGCAATTTGTTCTATAACTACAACTGCATGTTAAGATTTTTAAGATATACATGTAACAAATAGGTTTTGATTTTGCTGCTTTTGTAATGTCGGATTAACAGGATTTATTAGAATAAGTTTTATAAGTTTAAATTTTGCTATTACGTTAATACTTTCTGGGTTTTATGTATTTACTATTTGTGTTTTACCCGAAAAATATTCCCAATATTTTAACCAATTTCCCAATATTTTAATTACTATTGGCTAAGCGTGTTTTAGCCATGTTCGGAAACACACATTTGTGTGAACAATTATTGTTTTCGATATGAAAAAATAATAAAGCGGAAATCAAACTATTGCCTAGTCTTATATAAAGATATCTGTGATGTACCACAGGCACATAATATTTTGCAATACACAATTTACTAATCCATACATACGGTGTATAGAAAATCGATCATTGTATTTTCCAATGAATTAGAAATGTTCATGGTGATGTTTCAAAAATAAAAAAACGTGTATACAGAAATTATTTTATTTCGTTTTTAAAATAACAAAAAAAAGTTTAATGTTCTTACGAACTAGAATAATAAATTACAGGTAACAAAATATTTTTCGGGTAAAACAAAAATATTAAATACATAAAACAATTCCTTTTAAAAAAAAATTTTTAAATTCACTTTTTATTACCTACACAACATATTTACATAAAAAAATAAAATTTTAATTCCATTTTTCTTAATGCTAGTAATATTTGATGAGAAAACCTATAAATTTTATCAAATAAAATAATATACCTATGTGTTCACCTAAATTACACAAAATTACTTAATTTTCTTTTATTAGAGATTAAATTACTTCTTTAATCTAATTATTTATTTATATTGTTAAAATCTCTCGTATACTATTGCTTCTGCATCCTTCGGCGCAACACCTTCGGGGCGTTTTTATTTATATAAACGTAATCACATATACTTTATTTAAATATCCGTAAAATGAAAACTTAAAAAAATACACCAAAATTTACCAATTTATTAAGTCAAGTTTTTGTTTTAAATAAACTCACAATTAAACGTACAATTTTTTCAAAAGCACGTTTTATTTTATACTAACGCAAATATTACGAACAAAAGAAAAAATTTAATTAATGTAAATTATAAATTCTCATTTTATTTTATAACACAGATAATAAATATAATTATTCACTGAATTTAAATTAAAATTAAATTTTAAACAACAAATAAAATTTTTTTACCGCTTAGCACTCTTGGTGTTATTAATTATATAAAGATACGAGAAAAAAAAGAGTTGAGCTTGTAAACTCTGTGATACCCGTACGAATTTGTTATCCTACGTGCGAATAAATATGCCATAACTGAATACGGGACAGACTATGACTTTAAGTTGCCGTATTTCCATATTGATTTATGTAAAATTTCAGTACTGTATTTTTCAAAAACTGTGTGTGCCAAACTACTATTGAAGTTGAATGGCAGCTGCCAGATGGAGCCGAGCAATTTCAACGACTTTTATCAAACATATTGGCCCTACTAATATATTCGCTTGTGTGAAATTTCAATACCATAGCTTCTATAGTTTCTGAGATATAGCCAAATAACTTTGGAAATGTACGACAGCTACCAGAAGGAGCCAAGCAATTTCAACGACTTTTATCAAACATATTGGCCCTACTAATATATTCGCTTGGGTGAAATTTCAATACCATAGCTTTTATAGTTTCTGAGATATAGCCAAATAACTTTTGAAGTTGTATGGCAGGTACCAGAAGGAGCCAAGTAATTTCGACGATTTTTATAAGACTCGTTGGCCATACAAATATATTCGATTGTGTGAAATTTCAATACAACAGCTTTTATAGTTTCTCAGATATAGCCAAATAAATTTTGAAGTTGTATGGCAGCTACCCGATCCGGTACCCCGACCATGCCCTATTTAAATAGGGTTCTGGCACTTACTATAATAAATCATTTATGAAAATTTGGGAACTTAGCTCAATTAGTTTTTGAGTTATCGTTGAGACGAACGGACGGACGGACAGATAAAGCTAAATCAAAATCAATAAGCTAAATCAAAACATAAACTTGAGTCCATATCTAAGACCGTTAATTCTTAGCGTTACAAACGGTAAGGAAAATTTAGTATACCCTTCGAACATACGTTCGTACCGGTATAATTATTTGTATAAGAATCAACTGGATAACGAAAGACATAAAAAGTAACACTGTTTCTTATTGAAAATTAACTATTTTGAAAAATTAAAAATTTGTTATTATCGAAAAATTAGAGTTTGTTTTTTGGCACTTTTCCAAAAATTTTTTGAAAAAAAGTGCTTATTAGTTTCACTCTGTCCATCCATCCGTCCGTCCGTCTTTCCGTGTGTTTGTTTACAGAACTTCTACACCCTTGAAGATAGAAAGCTGAAATTTAATACGTACATAGATCTTTACTAGAAACTTATTTCCGTAGAACAAAATTTTTACCTATCTCCCCCCTTCTAGAAGTTATACCCCTCCAAAACCTTAAAAATGGCCTTTTTTAACTATTTGTTGCAAAGAAACCATAAGCATTTTTCAAATTTTGCAAACGCAGAAAGGCAGCGGCTTGCTTTCCCTAGCTCGATATACTATAGTTAAACTTTAGAAAAACAAAATGGCCGTTCAATTTTTTATCGTTATTTAAAGTCCGTTTTTTCCAAATTTTTGATGTCATTTTTCTTCTAGACCCCAGTTTGTAGGAGCCTGAAATTTTAGCAGCTTTTAGAGACTAATAAATAGTTTATTTCGTTAGAAGAAAATTTTTTTCCATGTCCACCCCCTCTCAACTTATCGCCGCTTGAAATTTGTAAAATTTGAATTTTTGACACCTTATATTTCCGAAACCGTAAGCTTTTTCAAATTTCTATAAACAAAAATTTCTAACGGTAAATTTCATGACATTAAAAATTATAATTACTTTTCTTAACTCACGTAATTAACCCTTAAAAACGACCATTAAGTTAACCCCACTTTCTATTCATTTTTGCTTTATTTCAAATAAATCTTTGCTTTATTTCAACAAATCTGCATAAATCGTTCATTCTAAATATATGCAATTCTAAAAATAGTTTCGTGTATGAATGAAAATAATATTAATAGTGTGGTAGGTATAAATAGACTGTATTTAAAAGCAGTACTTTCACTTGTTGAAGGGAAAAGTGCTGCAATACAAACCATTGGTTTGACCCAACTTTATTTTATTTCAGTTATTTTCATAAACATTTATGTATATCATTAATATTTATTGAAATTATAATTGTACTTATAATAGTCTGAAAATGTGAAAAGCAGCGTATAGGCCAATAAAACTCCTGGCGTAAACCTTAAAATTTTTTGTGTTTTTTCAGCCATGCAATTATTTCAACTATGCAATAGACATGCATACATAGCAATATATTATGTACTCGTACATATAGATAAAGGTACATTACCACGTAAGCAAATATCAACATGTACATTTTTAAAGCAAAATAATTACATATATTCATTACGTTTTTATGATAACACATATAATGCAGATTTTATTACTAAATGAACATTTGCCTACACTTATAGCAGAGACCATATATTTAAAAGACAACCAATCTAGCGTAATATATTTAGATATGAAAAATTTTACGATTTTCAAATTTTTGCCAGACTATTGAGCTTAGTTGAAATCTGGCCAGATTTCAATTTCTGTTATACATCAAAATATAAAAACAGAAAAAAAGAAAAACTAAAATATAAAAAAGAAATTGCAAACATATGATTGCGAAGGCGAAGTA